TTATGGCTTGTACTCTAAGCAACTGAAATAAATTTAGATAAATAACACAAGAAAGATAGTAGTAAAGGAGCCCGAATTTGAGCTCTTTGTTCGCTCGCCGTTAATGTCAGCGTTCAGCATTTTTTTTTTGTTGTTAGAATCTGATGCTTAACAAAAATAGGACTTCTCCTAAACCAATTGTTATTTCAATCAAGTGCTACGTAGACCTACATTCTGTTGTAGCATGAAGCAAATTGTTAAATTGTCAACAACATGATCAGCTGGCTGATTGCATATTTCTTTTCAGTAAATCTCAATTCAAATGCGTTGAAAGGCCTGCCAAATTTGCGAGTTCTGGATTTGTCCAACAATGAGATTGTACTCAAGGAGAGCGATGTCGATTTTCTAACGCACACTCCACGTTTGACAGAAGTAGGTTGCTTAGCAAGTGATAAAAAAGGTTCTATACTAGGAAAACACAAAAGTTAGAGGGATGTAACGTTTCTCTCTCAGGTTTTGAATGGGGTCATGTGCCGAGACACTCTTAGGAGAACTATTATGTAAGAAGTAATTATCTTTCGAAAAAATGGGCATTTGCGTTCAAAAAAAATTGAGCAGCACATCTTATTACAAACTCAAACAACTATTCTATGTAAATGATATTTCTAGCCTTGAAATTGTGCCATACTTTTACTTCCTTATATGGTTTACAATCTCTAATATCCAAACAATCTAGTTGTATTTACGACGAGCATTCACCGCTACAATCAACAGGACAGTACAATTCGATCTGATGATGAGAATGTTCAAGAAAGCGAATCTTAAACACCTAGAGGTAAGTTATTTTTCATTTTTATTACAAGCTCTAACCGTACATGACAACTCTGTGAAAGTAGCGATACATTAGCGAAAGAACCAAAGTTCTCTGTTTACACTAAGTACAGCAGCGTAAGCTTCATATGACGGAGGAGCGGCAATAACAATCTAATGCGCAGAGCTGAAAGAGATCTCTGTTAGCAACAATTAGTGACGGGATTTATGGATCTTTATCTCCTGACCGGCTGAACCAACTTTGCAGACCTCATAGCAGCATGAAAGAAACTGATTGAGAAGATTTTTCCTCTTGTAGCTGCATGCTTAGCAGAGTCCCAAAAGTTGAGTATAAAATGTTTTCAATGATCCATACTATATCAAGCAAGAAAGCGATTTT